TTCCAAACGGGAATAGTAAACCGGTCGATTGTAGTCAAGAAACATTGTTTTAAAGCTAAAGTGATATCAGTCTTGAAAGGGAGCTATACAGCATAACGAGTTTATCATTCACAATTTCACCCCTTTTGACTCGATTTCAACCGCGACAACGTTCATTGAACTGTAAAATCGCATAGGCTATGCTTGCAATATGTTCATTTGAACCACATTCATGACCCCATACCAAAACTATGTGTTCCCTTTAATTTTATTCCTGTTGTATTAATTGTCTATTACCTTTTCCGGGTTCCGAGTCATGTATATAAAGACTTCGGGGGAGTTTTATATTTATGTCGTGTTTTATTTACTATGCAGATATAGATGTATATACTGACAGCTTGAAGACTTAACTTTGCTTTTGTGATTATGTTTTTATGTATTTTAACTTGGACGTATATTTTTCTAAAGTTCTATTTTTGTAGGTATTTTTTGTGAGAGCGTTTTGTAAGTGTTTTAATAAATTGTTTTGTATTATTTTGTGTAAGGTTGATACGGTTACGACAGTGATGATTTTAGTCTTGTAAATACAATTTTAGCTCAAGGAATATGTTCTTATGCAAGCAGAAAATGCAAGTTGAAATAATGAAATGAATAATAAATGATACATAAAATCGCATCCAATCCTATCTCTTGATACTATGCGTTGATCAGGCCTGTTACAGTAAATCTTACATTACCATAATTCTGACCTAGCAGTAGGCCTCAATCTCACCTAACAGTTAGTCTCACCTAACAGTACACCCGACCTAACAATAATTCGGAACTTACGTTAAATCTTACGAAACAGTAAATCTTACCAAACAGTATATCTGACCTTACAGTAAATCTCACCTAACAGTAAATCTAACCGAACAGTAAATCCGACCTAACAGTAATTCGGAACTTACGTTAAATCTTACAAACAGTAAATCTGACCTAACAGTAAATCTTACATAGCAGTAAATCTGACCTAGCGGTAAATCGTATCTAACAGTAGATCTGACCTAATTGTAAATCTAACCGAACCGTAAATCTGACCTAACGGCAAATCTGACTTAACAGTAAATCTAACCGATCAGTAAATCCGACCTAACAGTAATTTGGAACTTACGTTAAATCTTACCAAACAGTAAATCTGACCTAACAGTAAATATTACATAACAGTAAATCTGACCTAGCAGTAAATCTTTTCTAACAGTAGATCTGACCTAATTGTAAAGCTAACCGAACAGTAAATCTGTCCTAACAGTAAATATGACGTAATTGTGAATCTGACATAACAGTAAACGTGACCTAAAAGTAAATTTATAACAAATAGCAACGAAAAAGAGGTTTACTTGAAATGATCGAATTTTAAATTACCTGCCGGCATGTAGCATGATTATATAGTGTCTTGCAGTACTGTTTTATCCAGGAAATATCGATGCACATGTGTACATTAGAACAGAAAATATTTTGTTCCTACGAATTTGTCATTATCAAAGCACAGTTTATGCCGTTTTACGGTACTCAAAGTTTTTACTCCAAATTTTAAATAGTATTTTTGTTAACCAATTATAATCAAAGGTTTACCTCTGATACTTTTAACTCTGACATCTGCCATTTTTAAACCAATTATATTCATAAGATTACCTCTAGCATTTTTACCTCTGATACTTTTACCTCTGGTATGTTTACCTTCTGAAAGTTTTATTTCTGACAACTTTACCTTTGACATTTTTACCTCCGGCAGTTTAGCTCTGTCTGGCATGTTAAACCTCTGATTTTACAACGCTGGCATCTTTACCTCTAGCATTTAAACTGCAGGAAGCAGGAAGAAATTTGCTCACGAATGCTTTTATTATACAATCAGATGTGTTGGTGAATGAAGTCCCGAGTGCAGGCCAAAAATGGGAATCATTCCTTCAAGATAGGATCTATAGCGATATCAAATGCATGATCCGACATTTAACTGTAGTATACCAAGAGTGTGTAACTGTACGAGAAGGCTGAACTCTTTATCCATGGAATGAACAGAGTTGGCAGTGACACTTGACAGATCGTCGTAGTAAGGCCTAAACAAAAAATATGTATTGCCCTTTAGGTGCCAAAACATGGGTCGGTCGGTCGGAAGTCTTTTTTGTTTTTTTAATACTTTTTTGTGTGTTTTTGTCTCCCTCTTTGGGCTGATATTTTTCAGTTTTGAATGCTTTTAATACCTCTTTTTTTTTAAAAGCCGACTGTAGTTTAAAAGATTTTGGGGTCGGTCGCAGAGGGCAATACAACATTTTTTTTTATAGGCCTAATGATAAGGCACGTCCAATTTTGTGTCTCCATCTCGCACAGAAAAGGGCAAGAAGCCGTAGAGCTGGATGGCATTTGTTACCAAGTAGAAACCTGAATATGCGGATATGGGTGGGGCATAGGCGCCGGAAGTGTGTGTGTGTGTGTGTAGCGGGGGGGGGGGGGGGGGACGCATTTTCGCCCCTCAAAGCCCACCCTGAAAATAAACAGCAGTATGGGGGTAAAAATGGTTTGAATTTTTTAACCAAAATGAAAATAAACAATATTAAATTCTGAATTAAATTACATAAGAATAATATTCTATTCATAGAAAGGGAGAGTTAGCTGTAATTAATTTCCTATACATTATATTATCAATGGAGGATTCTACAATAGCGATATGCCGCATATCTTGGAAATATTGTCAGAGGATGGGTAAACATGTTTAAAAAATATATATTATAAGCAGAGGCGGCGGAGCGAATTCCAAAGTGGGGAAGGGGGGGGGGGGGCATCAACAAAAAAGAGCACCTTCAAAGGGAAATCTCAAAGCGAAAATATGCAATTTTTTAGACATTGGTATATACCCTTATATTGTGATATTTCAATATTTGTTTCTCTTTATACATCATATAAGATATTGCTTACCAAGTAAGCATCATACTTTGCAGTTGGGTGTGATGGTCTGAAGATTCATTTGCGATCGAGGAAAATGTTCAAGATTTGTGAGGTCACAGAGCGAACATTACATCCTAGAAAGAGGAAAAACCCACTCCTGATGGGATTATAATAAGCACATTCTCATAATGGAAGACTGAAAAGACCTTTGATGAGTTACATAATTTTAACATCTATAACTACGAGCTAGCGTAGCGAGTAAGCTTGGGGGAATTGCTCTCAAACGCTTAAAATTAGGGGCATGTTTAATGATGAGAGGAAAAGGGGACACTTCTCGAAAGGCTTAAGACACTTATTAGAAAGCAAAAGGAGCACGTGTCAAAGTACAAAGGCTAATAATTATCAGAGGTGAAAATAAAGCACTCCTTACACCTAAAAATAGGCACGCACCGGTGATGAAAAGGGATTTTATGAAAATGGGAAATGGGCACTTGTCGACGGAAAAGATGCACCCATCAGATTTTGATAGGGGCATTTATAAGAAGTGAAAAGGGGCATTCATGAAAAAAGGGATAAGTTCCTTATTAGAAAGGAAAAAAGGAACATATCATTGTTAAAAGGGTAATTATCAGAGGTGAAAAGGGGAACTTATCGCATCTGGAAAGGGGCACATTAAAATGTGGTATATTTCTAATTCAATACCAGTTGCTCATTTACAAATGTTGCTCATTTTTTATCACATTTTTCTTCTAAATCGCGTAGTTGTTGTATGGCACTTCGGCCCGCACGCTGGAAACTACACATGCGTTAGATGGATGCATAGGTGTGTGTGTGGGGGGGGGGGGGGGGTGGATTGAGGCTTGAAATGACGTCACATATATGAAAACAAGTTCACGGCGTTCTAGATTTAGGACGACGGGAAAATCAAGGTGGACGCGTTCTCGATTCTGATAGTCGACGACGTACAGAGACGAAGTGACGCATGCGCAGTACCTTACAATGACGTCTCACGTCAAAAAGCATCTAAAAGCACCTGTTACATACAACTTAATCACTGTTTCATAATTTTGCTGTTTATTCATCTTTATTCAAGAAAGTACATATAACATGATAATGAAGATGTTGCATATTTAACACCCAGCTACGAGATTTGAATTACATTGGATGTATCTCATGCAGTGTTAAACAAAATACAATACACAATAACAAAACGGAAAAGAGATATAAGGACAGTTTTTTTGTAAATGAAAACATAAATAATTCCTAAACAATTATTTTCTTAATTAGGAATATCTCACTATATACCTCTATCTTTATTCTCTCCTTTTATAAAACTATTGACCACTAAACCGTCCAGCCAAATAAATCTACAATAAAATGTTCAACACAGTTGGGAAATACAAACAGGAATTTTTAAAAAAAGTGCTGGAAAGCCAGTTCGGTTTATATCACTCTCAATTAAAACAAGATCCATAAAATATATATACAACAGAGTGTCATCAATATAAATCAACACAGAGCAATTAGACAAAAACCAAATTATGAGAATGAGGGTTCAACAAAAAAGAACAAATAGCCTTTTAGTAGGTTGGCACCTTAAAGGGATCGTTCAGTTCTGTTTTCAGACCGCAAATGCCCTTAAAGTGCATGGTTATTGATCTTATTCTTATCTAGTGCCCTTTTAGGACCTAAAATTGCTAAGAAGGTAATTTTTAGACCTTAAAATGTGTGACATTAATAGCCAATACGATCATACCAATTCAGCTCCACCTTTCCAAAAAATACGGTGACCGTTAATTAATTATTCAACTAAAAATAACAATTCATGGGCCGGCTGGTTGTGCGTAATATAACCAACACAAAAATACCAACAAAAAAGCCAACATCGGCATTGGCTGAAATACGACGTAAAAGGCGCTATTTTGTTTTTTCAACGGCTTTTTCAAATTATCTAATATTTGTGGTGGTACACAAGTATTTGAAATCGTTATATTTATGGATACTTCAGCCGTCTCTGAACCGATTTTGATCAAACAAAGATGAATTTGTCATTTAAATTATATGTTCTTTCAAATTTGACACTCAGTTTTTTATTATCTCACACAAAATTATTTTTGTGTAGCGCCCTGTGCAATAGAACTCAACTATCCCTTTAAATAACAATACATACATAGTTATAACAAACAGACAAACAAACCAGGAAACATAAATGCAATAAGCCTATATACAATTTAACACTATGAATAACAAACTAAAAAGATGGGATTTATAACGTCGCTTAAAAGAATTACGTGCTGGGCTGATTTTTTTTTAGTGCAGGAGGGATATTGGTCAATAGAGAATGACCTTCAAAAAATATTGAGTTACGGGAATAAAAGTTTTGTTGGATTACGAGTATTGTGTAGATGTATTGTTAAATTAAGATAATCTTTACAGCACAAAACATAAATATTGTAATATTGAATCTTTATCGTAAGTTATAAACAATTTGCAAGGTGGGGGCATTAAAGGAAGAATTAGAAATTATTCTTGAAGCTAAATTCTGAAGTAAAAACATTCTGTTGATAAAGTAATCGGACGAGTTGGACCTAATAATATTACAGTAATTGATATGAGAAACAATCAAAGCATAATATAACATAATCAAGATAATTTTTCGGAAAATGTTTTTCATCGATAAAGAATTCCCGCATATTCAATTTCTAGTTTAATGAAACAGTGATATGTATCTTATATAGATCTTTCACAAATTAGTCAGTTGATGTAGTCATCCTCTCAATATTCACAAGATATTTTGTTTATGAAACTGAACTTTTTCTCACATCTGTATAATTATGACTTTTGCACATGGTGATTTTGCACAAGAGTTTATGGTGACATTTTTGTTGAACTTATGTACAGAACGGATAAAGAAATGAGAGGGGATGACGCTAGAACAGCCGATGTTATAGGTTCACTGTTTCATGAAACTATGAAATTGCATAACCTTCCAATTTTGATGAAACTTTCGCTGTTTTGTTGTTGTTTGTTTCACTTTTTTTCTGTTAATTCTAACCCCGCCCCCCCCACTCAGTGTTATTTAGGGTACGCGTATGAATGTGTTATTTAGGGTACGCGTATGAATGTTCCCTCATTTTGAAAACACCCCTATAAAGTCCGGTCCCTAAGTGCGGTGTGTATAGTAAATACGGGCAGATTTTTGTGTGTATTACGAGCCGGACTTTGTTGCGTCAAAGTAACCCTTTACCAAAGATTTTGGAAACATGAATACGGTCACTCCGTTCCCTGAGTGGGAGTGGGGGGGGGGGGGCATCCAAACCAACTTGCGAATGGGCCGGACATGCCCTTTAACTGCACGATCCAGCATTTACCCGCAATATTCCAAGAGTATGAAGCTGGACGAGGAGGTCGAATTCTTCATTCATCGAATGCTCGCTATCAGCCTTAGCAGCCGAAAGGTCATCAAAGTAGTGGTAGGGCACATCCGACCTAGTGTCTCCATAGTGCGCAGAAAAAGGCCAGAAGCCGTAAAGTTGGACTTCATCACAAAGCTGAATGGCTGTGGTTGCCAAGTAGAAACCTGCAGATAATAAGAAATATATACAAACAAAATAGGCAATGCTTGAAAAGTAGAAACCAGAGTCATGTAACAACAGTCATTATATTTTTAAGAAGTTGGTCAGTGGTGATTAGTGCCATTCGTGGCTTATGCAGCCAGGGCGCTCCCGGGGGGCAGGGGGGGGGGGCACAGTGCCCCTTTTACATGGGAAAAGTGCCCCTTTTACATGACTTTAGGGACTTATTCCAAGTATTATTCGACATGCCCTGTCTTCAAGTTACTTTTAACCCTATGTCAACCGGGGGGGGGGGGGGGTTCAATTTGAACCCCATGTAGTAATTTAGCGACTTCTCCAGAACCCCGGCAGATATAAAGTTTTCCTTTCATGACTTTTTTCTTTCGAGTCTAACGCATTTTTAAAAACAATATTTTGAAAATCGGACGTATAGTTAGTTACAAAGTCACGTGACCTTTTGTCTTTGCATGTCAGCCCGTAAATCGCTCATTTTTGTGATTTGTGTACGAAACATATGGAAATATCATTTTCTACTATTTTGAAACAAACACCTAAATTTACTACATCCAGCCTAGCACCCCATCCATTGATTTTACCTTTACTTGAATATAACTTCATTTCCTAGCTAGTTCGCTAGTTTTCAAAGCTAATTGATGTAGCATAAACCTAGGTGTTACTTTCAAGTTGCTTTTGATACCAGTTAACATGTAAGGAAATAATGTTCGATAATGTCAAAGTCTTCTTCAATATATTATCGTAAGTATTGAGTATATACAGTGCGTCCCAGAAAAAACGTAACCGAGAATTATCGATATTTAATCATAATTAAATCACAATTATAATTAATAAATGACACATATTTGTAAAGCTTAGATCCTCCCCTTTCATTTGATGCAGCTCATATGATGCAAATGCTACGCATGAGTGATTAAGAACAATATGAAGAGAGGGTACCAAAAAGTAATTTGGCGTGCGATATCTGAATTTCAAAGAGAAAAATCAAATTTCAAAGTTAATTTTCTGCCCTTTCATAATTATGACACCTCAATCAGGAAAAATGAGCCAGGAATAACAAATTACTGTTTGTTTAAAGTAATGCTTTAATTTCCATAATTTGATTAAACGAATTCGTTTAAGCTGGTTGCCTGACAGCAAAACAGAGTTGACAAAAGACTTAACTTCCTTATTAATGTTTGTGCATATATGGCTCTGTTGTAGCCTCTTTAAATTAACAGTGGGGATTGATTTATGACGAATAGGATAACTTAAAAAAGACATTGTATTTTACATGTAGTTTTTAACATCAATGGAGTGATTTAACTGAGTTTCATTAGTTGAAAATAGTGACCTCCGAATATCGGCCTAATTTAACCAAAAAATTGTAGCATTTCGTTAGTTCCCTTAAATTTAGGAGCACAAGCATTTATACTCTGACTATTTACATCTTAATTCTAATCTTTCTTTTAAAATATGATCCTGGAAATTCCCCTTTTCAGTCCGATTGAATTAGACTTTGGCCATTACATTACTTGTATGTCATTAAACTTTAAAATACATGAACAGGAAATGGGCTACATGCATTCGTTCAAAACTGAGGTATAAGGGAGTTTACAGATAGCACATGGTACAAATGACCCCAAATATCCACAGATCTTTTACACATGGAGAAGTTCCACTTTGAGCATATTAGAATAATAACTGGCAAAGTCCTAGATGTGCTTCATGAATACCTATTGTTTGCCCTCTTGAAAAGAATACTTCCACCTGCGTATCATAGAATGTACCGTTAGTGCATAAATTAATAATGTTACATAACTTTCATGAGCGCATATCCAGTATTCATCTCTGTGGGTTTTACCTTTTTGGTACAAATGACCTTTATCTGCCCATGCGCAGATTGTATCTGTAAACTCCCTTATCACTATGAACATTACAGACAAAGCGGACAAAACAGGTAGACAAAGCCAAGGAACATCCCTTCACTGCTATTATGTAAAAATGTGTAGAACAGGTGTCACATGCACATTCACCATTTTACATAATAGCAGTGAAGGGATGTTCCTTTGTCTACCTGAGGAACTGTATATTTTGTCCGCTTTCTTTGTCTGTCATGTTCATAGTGTATTGCCCTATTGGGTAGATGCGATGGAAAGGGATCGATGCGTGGACTATAGCTTTGGAGATATAGGCCCGAATTCACAAAGGAGGTTCATGGTCGACAAACCTTGGTTTTCGTACGTCATATGACGCGCTTTACGCGTTTTTTTTACAAACCTGGTTTGTAAAGAACAAAAGGAGGTTTGGCGAAACAAAAGGAGGTTTGAGCTCAAACCTTGGTCTGAGCTCAAACCTTGCTTTGTGAATTCGGGCCATAGAGCTTGGGGCCTTGGCTAATCGGATTTGTCTATACATGTACTTGCACTGGCATTAGCACTGCATACAACCGGGTACCCAAAACAGCCACTCCCGACATTTGACTCTTTGTGATCGGCCCTACCTCTCTCTTTCTCCTTCTTACTGTTTAATTTCTGTGAACAAAAACAATTATTCTTGCTGGATTATTATAGAGTGTGACTACAGTGATATGCTTACTAGACCAGATACACCCATTGATGACACGTTGCATACATGCAGCAAAAGTATGAAGACCATCTTTCAAAAATCTAAGGTGAGTATTAAAACTAGAAAGTCATTTATTATTCGATTTCCTCTGCCATTGTATAATTGTACTGACGTATTTAATTCAAAAGTGTTGGACGAGAGTGGAAGCAAAGACCACAGCAAAATTTAGCTTAGGTCTCGCGATCCGCTTCTCCAATGTCCGATGCTCATCATGTTCATGTTATTTAATATAATATCCCCAAGCCAATTTGATGGCAAAATTTCACTTAAAATGTATCATATCATGTGAATGAAGGGAACTTTAGACAATCTTCTTTTTTTGGTTTTTTTCTCTTCCTGTATTTCTCTGTATGAATGAGTGAGCGTTCAGCATGTGAGCAGCTCCTCTCCTCTTGACTTGTATGCTTAATTTGTGAGGTTGTGGTGGATATTGGTGTGTCTATAAACACACACATCTACCAAGTATACCCTCTGGATTACTTTGGACAATTTTTGAAGGACTCAATGCAACTTGTTGAGAGGTTCTAGACTTTCAATTTTTTGCTTTGCTATCTATGTATTTGGAGCCAAGTGCAGCCATATTGAAACTGCTTCATGCACACATCCTATTGATGATCACCCAGGCCTCATTCAGAACCGTTGCTGGCCTTGGTCACGACACATTGTACTAAAAATATCTTTTTTATTCGTGTTGAACAGGCTCACATACATTTCGGAATACGATTTTTTGGAAAAAAGAAAATCGTGTATACAGTTAACAACTTAATTATTCATACCCCTTGTAAAAAAACAACATTTTCTTAACTCGAGAATGAAAGGTTGACAGTGGACTGCACTTTGTTAGGGCCTAATTGTTGAATATGTTTAGATTTAGTTAGTTTTGTTATGTCACATTCTTAAGAAACATAAATCGGGACTAATCGATTTTTCACATTCTTAACAAATTACAATACTTGGTAAGGGTATGAATAATGTCATTGCTGTACGTCCACTATAGAAACCTACATAAGACTCGTTCGTGTGGAGTATAATTCCTTGTGTTCACAATGCTGAACAATGCGAGCATTCAGGAGCGAGAAGATGTCGTATGAGCATAGCAAACAAAAGGAGGTTCATCTGTTTAACAACGGCGATTCATTCTGAATACTTTCTCACTCACTCAGCCCATATGCTAACAGTGGTGTAGCTACGGGGAGGGGAGATTGGTAAGAGATAAGCTGAGTGCGAGGGGAGAGGAAAAGGAACAGGAAAAAGAAAGTGAGATAATATAAGGAGATAGATTGCACGAAAACTCTACTCAAAAATTACAATATTATGTTAATCAGTAATGTGGGGGCAACATGATATGTATTAAATTAAATCTGTTGCAAGAGGTTCATTAAACGATTTTCGAAAAATGCTGTAGCATGATCCGGGCTTTGTACTTGATGCAACGTACATGTACAGCAGAGACAAAGGGAAAAAGGAGATTTTTATCATAGGGGGTAGTTGACTGGGGTGGTTATCGGGGAGGTGGATGTACAGGGGGTAGGTGTCCGGGTACGCTAGGGATCATTCAGGGACGGGTCCTAACTATATCAAAGATCTTATCACAGGTGGTGTGTGCCTTTTCAGTATTGCCACATGGACTTATACTGCTAATTAGTGGGAATCGCCATAGTTATAAACGGTACCTGTACAGTGTATATCTCCACTCCAAATGCGCATACTGTAAAACGACATCAGTTCATTTGGAATAACATAATGACTTGGCCATCACATTATCTGATCAATTCTTTCTTGTGTGTGACAGAAAAAGAGCTTCAATGGACAGATTTATGGTATGTCAAAAACTTTGAAATATAATTAGTTTTTATGACCCAATATTCTGAGTATATCACACTTTTATGGTTCATTGCCCATTACATGTGTGTGTGTTATATCAGGTTTATTAGACCAAACTCATAATTAAAACTATATCAGTTGAGATTTTTTAATCGGAAAATTTATACTCGATCAAAAAATTAAAAATCTAGATTTGTTTACATTTATCAAATTTTGATCCCAAAATAAGATTTATAGTAAAAATACTCGTGTATCCACCCGTATCTTATTCCTAAGCATTTTCGATTTAGATAATTTGTAGCAAAGATGCATTACCCCCAAATACCATGCATTACCCCCAAATACCATGCATTACCCCGAATACCATGCATTACCCCCGAATACCATGCGTTACCCCCGAATATCATGCATTACCCCCAAATACCATGCATTACCCCCCCCCCCAAATACCATGCATTACCACTAAATACCTAGTCCAGCCTCTGTACCGTTTTCGTTTAGCGCACCCAATCAGCTGATAAAATAACACACCCTCAACGTTGAAAGTAGACCTAGCCATTCCTCTAAATATTGCGCGATCAGTGGAGAGACCGCGCTGTGTGTGGGGGATAAAAAGAACGAACGGACTGAATCGGAAATTTGGGGATTGCGCGATCAGTGGAGAGACCGCGCTGTGTGTGGGGGATAAAAAGAACGAACGGACTGAATCTGGACTACTAAATACCATGCATTGTACCCAAATATCATGCATTACCCCTAAATGCCATGCATTACCCCCAAATACCATGCATTACCCCTAAATGCCATGCATTACCCCCGAATACCATGCATTACCCCTAAATACCATGCTTATAATTTACCCCCAAATACCATGCATTACCCCCCCCCCCCCCCAAATACCATGCATTACCCCCCCCCCCCCAATACCATGCATTACCCCAAATACCATGCATTACTCCCAAATACCATGCATTACCCCTAAATACCATGCTCATAATTTACCCCCAAATACCATGAATTACCCCCTGAATGCCATGCATTACCCCCCCAATACCATGCATTACCCCCCCCCCCAATACCATGCATTACCCCAAATACCATGCATTACCCCTAAATACCATGCTTATAATTTACCCCAAATACCATGCATTACCCCTGAATGCCATGCATTACCCCCCAAATACCATGCATTACCCCCCCCCCAATACCATGCATTACCCCCAAATACCATGCATTACCCCCAAATACCATGCATTACCCCGAATACCATGCGTTACCCCGAATATCATGCATTACCCCAAATACCATGCATTACCCCCCCCCAAATACCATGCATTACCCCTAAATGCCATGCATTACCCCCAAATACCATGCATTCCCCCTAAATGCCATGCGTTAACCCCAAATACCATGCATTACTCCCAAATACCATGCATTGCCCCTAAATACCATGCTTATAATTTACCCACAAATACCATGCATTACCGCCCCCCCCAAATACCATGCATTACCCCCAAATACCATGCCTAACCCCCCAAATACCATGCCTTACCCCAAAAATACCATGCATTACCCCTAAAATACCATGAAATCTTTTTAGAGCCTTTTTTTGGGTAGTGTTTAGCATTTTTTTTTTACTATACGACGATACGAAAGCGTAAATGCATACTTATATACTTTAATACTCTCTTTTGTGTTTTGTTGTTTTGATGAGTTTATATTCATGATTTTTATTGCAATTTGTTGTTACCTAACAGGCCCCATAAAACCACCACTATTGGTGAAAATATATAAGCTACGTACCCTGTATATGTATCAGAAATAAATAAATGAATAAAGGTATACTTATACAGAGCGGAAGAGAAGGACAACCCACGTCTTGTAACTATAGAAACTAATTGAAAGCAAATAGGGATAATGATATACTCTTCTCTTTCAATATTTATTTACAGACATCGCTCTTCCTGGTGACATTTGTAGGAGCCCTAACTATCATCGTTGGAATTTTGTGTGGTTTGCAGACACACCCAGTTCGCAGACGTGCCGAGGTTCCGATGTTGGTAGTTGAGAAAATAGAGGATGATTCATCCCCCCAATCGCTTTTTGCCAGAAGAGGATGTGTCAAAAAGGTACATATATTTGGCAGCGACAGAGAAATGCGTCACATACCAGAACTGAAGGAATACATGGACATTTTCCGAAAGAGCAATCTACCTCTAAATGCTGCGGGCATCGATTGTGTTTCTGAGGGGTACGACTGTGACATCGTCCTCACCATGGGTGGTAATGTGGACTATCTTGAGGGGAAAGACGCGGTTGTCTTTGGATTGGTTCCCACGGAGTTCCGCGGGGAAGGGAGAGAACAATTCAAGAAGTTGTTGGAATTGCGACCGGCTACAGGTCAGACGTGGATATATTTCAGCACGGAGCCGCCGCTACGTGTGCTTAGGTGGACCAGAGATCTCGACCTTATGCGCCTCAAGTATCATGTCCTTATGACCTATGATTTGGATTCAGAAATAGTCGTTCCTTTTGGTTACTACAGGCCCTTTCACACAACAGGTGTTCATGCGAGCTCCAACCAGACTTTGGAGCCCATTTCCAAGATCCACTCTTGGGAAAGGAAGGCATGATAGCGTGGATGGCCAGCAACTGCAAAGCGTTTTGGCCACGTACGGAATTCATCAGTCAAATGAGGGATATGCTCCCACTCGATGACTATGGTAAATGTGGTCGGAAAGAGTGCCTCCCATTACGATCCGAAGAATGCAACAAACTTATGGCACGCTATAAATTCTACTTGGCCATTCCCAATTCTGAGTGTAAAGACTACATCACGGAAAAGTTCTGGCTCCAGTCGCTGTCCTACGGCACGGTGCCGGTCGTAGTTGGCTCGCGGAAGGAATCTTACCAGGCGGTGGCGCCTCCGAACTCCTACATTCATTTCAGCGACTTCAAATCCATTGATGACTTAGCGGACTACCTAAATCGCCTCGACAAAGACGACGAGGCCTATCGCAGGTTCCAGGACTGGCGAAGTCAAGGAGAAGTGGTGCTCACCTTCCCGACACGCCCTACAATCTTCTGTAGAGCACTACCTCATCTCCATGAGAAACGAGATGTGAAGCCGTACAAGTATCTTAGCGATTCACCCTGGTTCAAAGGTTGTAGGATGACTCCAGACAGAAAAGTGTTTGATCTGAGCAAACAAGAACAGAAGACCTTGTCTAAATTTGAAAATTGGTCGGTATGGCGATGATCAAAAATTGAATGTTTGACTATTAAGATGAACTAATTATACCGTCGTTATTAACGTTACTGCCGTCCGACCTCGTATGAATTTTCTCGTGCGTTAGGGCAGTTTCAGTGCATTCAGTTTAGTCCTTGTGATATCGATAACGCACTTGTCCTGCGGGTGCGTGCATTATCACTACGGGCACTGACTAAACTTCGTGCACTGGCCCTGCGCTAACACACTCACAACAGTGCATTATTTGTATAATAATAATGATAATAATAATAATAAAGATAATTTTCTTTTTTTCTTTCACCCTTAAAGGTACTATGTCCCATTTGCAGGCCCCAACAAATGAAAAGGTTAAATTTCAACGGCATTTGAAATACAATACTAATTTAAAACTTCCCTCAAAACGAAAGCGCTTGAAAATGGCTTTTACTGGGAAAATAACGACCATTAGTTGTCGAATCGACTTAAGTGACTGCAATCACCTGAGTAATAGTCTGATTTGCATACCCTTTTATCGAATGGTCGTGGCTCCTGCATACGTGGCGCTAGGTCCGGCAAGCGGAGTCGAGCTACCACTCTGACTCATTTTTTCGTTCGGTCTGTTTGTCAAAATCCTCTGAAATTATTTCTTTTCAATGTACACTATTAAATTAAAATATATCGTCTCAAAAATATCCCTCACCGCTTTCTTGATGTAAAAAAAAACAGTAAATAATTCTCCAGATCTGTGGAAGACGTGTCACGATCTTGGTTTGTTTGACTCTCGGCTCAATCTCTTTCTCAATTTCTTTCTCCCTCATTCTACTGATCTAATTTCCTTTTCATAGAGCTTTTGAAATCGTTCAGTTCTTAGCTACATTAAATTTTTTTTTAAATCAATTTCTAAGCATACTTTGTTCATGTTAACACCTCAGCAAGCTCTGCTTCAAGTTAGTTCCTCTTTTCTCGTGCTTTCTTTTCCACTTTCCTGCATCTAATGTATGTTAATTATACATTCAATATATTTGTTTAAATTCAATATATGTGTTTAATTTCATTTATTATCTGTATAAAATTATATACACTTGAAATATTGTATCAAACCATATTATGTTCATGAAAATGTATGATGAAAAAAGAAAAAAGATGCAGAAACCAATAAATCAAATTATATTTCGTCGTTTCATTGCATATTTTTTTGTGATATAATTATTCTTGTATTATGTTTTGCATGAGAAATAAAATCATTTTAATCATTTTATTGGGATTTAGTAATTCCGATAAATATCAAACATGTGGCTGTAAAGAAGATTTATTTCATGCTTTTTTGAAATGTGAAATGATTATTCCCTTTTTTGAAAAATCGATGGTTTGATAAAGCATGTCTATAATGTAGATATTGATCTTAATATTGGTACCTTGTTAAAAACCAATTTGGATAAAAATATTGATGATATTGTTACAAATGACTTTTGGAGCTTGATATAAAACGATACTTTTGAGAAACGAAAAGGGGAAAGATGAAAGGATTTTTTTTTCTTCTTCAGAGTGAAGGTTTAAAAATGCTTGGAACCTTAATAATGTTGGCATCATTGCAAAGGGAATGTTACAATCTTCCTAATAATTTATATTTACTTTCAAAAAATGGTTACAGAATTGACTTATCTGCTATCAAAAGTGATGGAATTGCTGCCGGTTTTTTCCACCCTCGATCAGCCCCGCTCAAGTTTGCTCAGTAGGTTATGACTGGATCAGGCAAATAAATTTTTATTGAATTTACAAAAATCCAATGCTCTTTAGTTATAATTATTGATAAATCACCAGTAAATATTGTACCTGATAATACTATCATACAAAAAGTCTCTTCTGCGAAGTGCCTGAGAATGATAGTACATGATAAACTTAAATGGACGCTGCATGTTAATAATGTTTGTAAAATAATATCTAGAAATATTGGTATTTTGAACGAAGAAAATTGTATTTTCCATTTGTATACTGCTTAAGTTGTGCTTGACTTTAATACTTTCTTACTTGCACTTTCTTATGGTGTGTCATTATGATGTCTTTCCATTGTTGCTTTCGTTCAGAAATTTAAATAATCTGGGTATAACAATTCCATAACGTACGTCAGCCTCCGAAAGATCTAAATGTCAGTGGTCATATCAGAGATTTTCATTTTCGGATGAAATGAAACGTGAAATGGCACAATGACATCGTACGACACATGTTTAATGGAATCGTTCGAATGAGTTTTATACCTGACGAATCGAATCAAATCAAATCAAATCACCGATGATGGCGTCTTTTGATGTAATACCCACCTGTAGATATTTTGTTGGTGAGCTCTTTCTCCTGCCAGAAGTTCAACACAGACTTGAAGTGCTGAGGATTGCCACACACCATCTTCGGTTTCTTTCCTTTAAAACTTAAAAAGGCTTTCAGAGTGGGCTGCCCGTTGCCTTCGTATGCGAAACAGGGGTTCCATAACATGCCATCATATTGCGAAATATCCTCGTTGTACTGCTTGATGCTATGCGTCTTCTTGAGTGCTTTGTAGCTGGGTCGAATGACAAATGATTTATATATAGGGGTGTCAATAGAAGAACATTTAATACGACATTGCGACTGAAGTGAGAAAGAGAGGGAGAGAGAGAGAGAGAGAGTAAATTACAGAGAGAGTAATATAGAGAGAAAGAAAGAAAATGTACTTCTTGTAACTTGGCTAAATGGGGGAAGAGATCAAATAGGACCAAGAGAAAGAGAGAGAGAGAGATAGAGAGAGAGAGAAAGAACGAGGGGGAAATGAGAAAAGGTTCTGCGAGAGAGAAGAAAATGTAGGTCATGTGACCGTTGACTAATTACACCCACAATCTAATCAGTACCGTCTTTTACACACTTGGTCCAAATTTGGTTAAAATCCGTTCAATGGGTTTACGAGTTATTGCGGTCAAGAGAAGTGGGACGGACAACCCGAAAACATATTGCCTCCGGCACAACCTTCTGTGGCCGAGGCATAACAAGATAAGTTGAAACAATATAAATCTTACCGTCCAAGCACCATACTAGGATTCATCGTTGTCAAATTACTTTTCATCCCGGCGTCTACCTTGAACGGCAATAAAGGTGCTAGGTTGCATCTGTGACCGTACCGGGGTGAAGAAAAAAGAAAAGAATGATGCACAAAATATACGAAATTTATGTAGCACTGGCGGATTCAGGCCCGTGCCATCCTCTTTGAAATTCAACTTACATATCTTTGTTTACACAAACTGACACATTAAATTCCCTTAGGATTTTTTCTAGGGAGGGGTGCTCGGATAAAAGATGGTGGCGCCCATGAAACTGTATAGTTTGTAGGATTTTGTTAGAATGTATTGGTTTGTTATGGGTATTGATAGTTGTGCACTATCATGGACTTCTCATCGGTCAGTCAATAAATGGGTAAACGAGGCAGGGGCGGCGGAGCGTCTTCCAAAGTGTGTTAGGGGGGGGGGGGCACCAACACAAAGGGCACTGCTGGAATAAAAAAAAAAGGACACCTACAAAGGAAAATCTTAAACTGCACTTATAACATTTTAGACATTAATATATTATACCCCTACATTGTCTCGATTGTGATTACACTACCAAGGATGACATCAATATTTGTTTCTCTTTTTACCTGGCTTAAGATACGGCTGAAGTAACATACTTTGGGTGTGATGGTCTGAAAATTCATTTTTTAAAATTACATCTTATAAAGAGGACAAAAAGCAAACCCTGATGAGTTTTAGGCATAATCTAATGAAGAAAGACTGAAAAGTTCTTTTATAAGTAACATAATTGTAACAACTATAAATGCGAGGGAGCGTAGCGTGCGAGCTTTAAGGAAAATTTAAGAAAAGGGGCTCTCATTCGCTTTGAATTAGGGGCGCATGTTATGGAGAAAGGAAAAGTATGCATCAGAAGAGAAAAGGACCGTTATAAAGAAAAGGTGCTCGTGTCAAAGTAAAAATGGGCAAGAAGAGAAGGGGCAGTACTTTAACAGGGAAAGGGGCACTTTGGGGTTATCAGGTCAACATTGCGATCTTGGGAGCTATAGAGGAAGTTTTTATAGCTGTACGGTTGCTGTAGCTGCAGAGCGATTAGCTGAGACCTTGGGTACGGATTAGAATATAATTTAACCACACCAATTGTTTGATTGGAGAGTTATCTAAAACAATGGTCATTGATATACTTTAAGGATGCTTTTATTTCATAAAATAATGTATGTTTACACCATAAGATGATTATTGTTATATACATCTACTTTAGTGGTATGCGGCTCTGTATATAGGTAACCCCTTTTAAGTAGCTCAGAGAAAATCCACCTCCCCTGCCTTGCATGGATGGTGTAGCGAGCCTCTATCGTTGCTATACTTTGAATTTATTCTTATTAGAACGCTAAGAAACACTGAAATGATGAGACGAACCAACAAAAACGGATACCTGCCGGGTTGAACAAAAACCGCGTCCCCCAGTGACGAACCAGGCTGAGGTCGGAAAATTGAATACTGGTTCCAAATCCAAATCTTGAAATAAACTCATAGATTGCAAAGCAGCAACTCTAATATCGAGTTTTAATGTCCGGTCCCTCAAACCAAAGGAGAAGGAGAACTCACAGCACTAGCTGAAGAAAAGCTGAAGAAAATGTCTTCAGGCACCAATAATACAGTGAACAGCACATTCGGAGGGGTCGGTATATTTATGAGTCCTTTTGCTTATAAGTCACTGTAATACCTTGAAAAGGTATACTTCTAGCCAAGTTCAGTGGAAATTCATCTCCAACTGTTATCACCTGCTAAAGTCCAATCAATTGTTCCCCAGAAAATGAAGCTGTAAATTTCTATAGCTTACTGTCTGATGTCATTAAAAAGATCCCTCTGCACAACATGAAGATTATCTGTGGTGACATGAATGCACAGGTTAGCTCTGCAGACAGCAAGGGTTTTACTTTTGGCAATAGAACTAACAGAAATGGGCAGTACTTGCTGAACATGACATTCGAATGTGACCTGATTGCTTTCAAAAAGCCAAAGAAAAGACGTGGACATTTACATACCCAAATTAGAGCCAGGCACAACTAGACTATATCCTATTGAAGTGTGAACGACTGTCAAGCTTACAACTATTTTGGCCCTTTGAACTCAGACCATCGAATTGTCTCCACCAGAACGCAACTAGGCTTGAGAAGCAACAAGCATTAGGTAAAAGCCAAATCAAATCTTCCTCATGACTGGCAGCGCTTTAAACCAGACTGTAGTATCAAGGAAGCATATACAGTGGAGGTAAACAACAGATTTGAAGCATTGTATCAGGGTATCGAGAATCATACAGCGAATGATATCTACTCCGCACTTATGGAAGCACACGAAGGAGCAGCCACGAAATACGTACCAAAGAGAAATGGCAAGAAGAAACGGGTGCAATGGGAAAACGAAAAGATCAGGGAGAAACGGAAATGCCTTTAAAGGAAGCATACAATAACAAGAATGGCGCACCAACTGCCTAACATGCAGAAACACTTGACAAAGCCAAGATCTCAAGGATACATACGATGAAGAGCAGTCAAATTACATAGCTCAACAATGCACTGAGATCGAGATTGGTGTAGTCCAACAGCAGACTAGAAAAGTATCGGATATTGTGAAAGAGATCACTGGAAAGCCCTCGACCTCAGTGGATCAGCTTAGAGGTAAAACACCCCAAGAGAGACTAAACCAGTGGAAAGATCACTTTTCTAATCTTCTTGGTCAACCTTGCTCCACCAGATAACAACAACCCAGTAAGAAAGATGGTCCAAGAGACACTCCCAATCAAAACAAGCAAATTTACCATTGGAGAACTCAAAGTGGCAGTCCCCTCCCTCTCCAATAAAAAATGGCCAGGTGTGGATGGAATCCCAGCAGAGGTATGGAAGCCTGGTGCCCTTGACCAACAGCTTTTGGAAGTATGTAACAGAACGCTTATCCATGGTGAGAAACCAGACTTGTGGTCTAGGAGCATAATCATCCCTGTACCCCAAAAAGTAGATCTCAGTACCCCTCAAAACAACCATGGTATAGCACTGACCCAAGTATATTATTACTCTGATGCACTGACCCCTGCAAAAGTATTAAACAAAATGCTTTTGACTAGTATTCGTTGTCAACTGGAATCCTTTCTCCGCAAGAACCAGAATGGATTCCGTCCAGGAAGATCTACAGTAGCGCAAATTCTAACTTTGTGAAGACTGGTTGAAGGTATTAAAGCAAAACATCTGACAGCAGTGCTTACGTTCGTGGATTTTAAGGGCCTTCGATTCAATCAATAGTTAGATAATGATAGAGATCTTAAGAGCCTACGGAATACCACAGGCCATAGTTACAGCAGTAGGGGCGATGTACAAATATACCACAGCTCAAATCCGTTTACCAGATGGAGAGACTAACTCCTTTACCATCTTAGCAGGAGTGCTTCGAGGAGATACCTTAGCACCATACCTTTTCATCTTGGCATTGGATTATGCTCTAAGAATGGCTACTGAAGGGTTTGAGGATCTAGGCTTTACCCTAAAGGAAAGGAAAAGTAGCAGATATCCCACTGTAATGATCACAGATGCCGACTTTACTGATGATATTGCACTGATTTCAGACAATCTGGAAAAGGCACAGAAGCTCTTAGAACAAGGAGAGTCTGCAGGAAGCCAAGTCGGTCTACAAATAAATAGTACTAGACAGAATTCATGATGTACAACCTCCGTGAAGGCGAGATTTGTACTGCTGACAGGACAAAGTTGAAGCAGGTCCAAGACTTTCAGTACCTTGGCTCGTGGGTTGATCAGTCAAAACAAGTTCTGAATATCCGAAAGGCGAGAGCCTGGATGGCTTTGAACAAGCTGACAGCCATTTGGAAATCAAACCACGGTATACTGAAAGTCCTTTTTTTATTAGGGCTTCAGTGGAAACTGTACTGCTCTATGGATCAGAATCCTGGACATTGACGAATAGCCTAGAAAAACAACTTGATGGTAGCTATAAAAGACTCTTGAGAACAGCACTAAATGTCAGCTGGAAGGACCATTATGACAAACACAGAGTTGTATAGGGACATTACACCGATCGCAGACAGACTGAGAGACCGCCACCTCCGATTCAGTGGTCTTTGCTTGAGGAGCAAGAGTGAAATCATTTCACAAATGCTCTTCTGGGAGCCCTCAAGGGGCAAACGCACCAAAGGGCGCCCAGCAATGACTTCCATAGACCAGTTAGAAAAAACACATCTGTCTACCGAGGTAGGAACTCTCAAAGATCATGGAGAATATTACTGAATGGAAAAAGCTTGTCAAATCAGTGCGAGTACGCTAGACCTAGTAGCAGTAGCATGCACTTTGATTTGTTTAGAGATATTAATGTCACAGTTAATTTAATCTCATCTGTGTACTAAGGGTCATTTTGTAGCAGTCTGTCTTTTCAAAATGAACAAATATTTGTTCATTATTTGGTTTGTGCGCGAGTGAGAGTCGATTTTTATTATCATTTAGCTGAAATAATGTAAAGGTGAGCCTTGAGAAGGGGTAATAAATTACATCTGGACTGTTTTGCAAATGAAAATAATGCCAAACAGACGTGAAATTTGAATCCAAATCTTTAAACCAAAATAATGAACAAAGATTTGTTAATTTTGATAAGATATACTGTTTTGTGTTGATCTTTTATGACAGGAAGGAAAAGATAGGCCAACTCAGTATTTTGGGGTTGGAGATTTATTTTTCTATGTAACCGATATATTTATAATTAACAATGTACTGATTTACAGTAGGCTTGCGGGTGCACCATGCGAGAGAGAGGGAGGATTGAGGAATCCTGAAAAGGACTCGGTAACCTTTCTTGAGGGTTTGTAGTCCTAAAAAGGACTGTTGTTATAGTCTTGGTAAAGATTTTTGGGTATCTTTCTTAGCTTATAGTTGTAAGGAGAACTATATCGCTTGGAGAGGATGAGTGGCGGGAGTGGACCAACAGTCTTTTTCAAGACTATACCAACAGTCCTTTTCAGGACTACAAACCCTCAAGAAAGATTACTCCCTCTCTCTCACATGGTGAACCCGCAAGCCTACTGTATATCTACATTACCATGCAAGCCGACACTTACAAGCAGTACTGATTGTTTGACTCGCCAAAATGCTAGTCGTCAATGATAAACGTGCTACTGCAAATATACTATATAAGCGGAATATTATTATTATTATACAGTAGGCTTGCTGGTGCACCATGTGAGAGAGAGGGAGGATTGAGGAGTCCTGAAAAGGACTCTCGGTAATTTTTATTGAAGGTGTAGTCCTGATTATTATTATTCCCCAAATTTTATGATCTGAACAAATAAACGGGTTCACCGTCAACATTCTGGCAACGATTGGCCAAGTATTGATACATGTGCTTCCTTAGCATCGTAACCCTAATACTCCAAAGACCCGATACTACTTACCGGAATACATAATCATGTTTATCGACGTCTTTTCCGCAACTGCTGTTTAGCATTATACCACTGTTTCCCACGACTGCGCATGATCGATATCTGGTTTCTTGCGGAAATGGATTGGTCTGTGCACGGATGTAGATGAGAAAATTGCGAAAAATAAATTACTGTCAATTGAAAAAAAAGAAATGACTACATTTTTCAAATACCGTTTTCAAAATATATTGAGATTTCTAACCGTTAAAGGTAATACAAAGTTTTGGTATGGGGTCATGAATTTGGTTCAAATGAACATATTGGAAGCATATGCGATCCTACAATATTAGTGATCGTCGTCGCGGTCGAAATCGAGTCTTAAGTTATGAAATTATAAATAATAATCACTTTATGTTGTATAGCTCCCTCTCAAGGTCAAGATATTAATTAAGCTATAAAGCAATGTTTCTTGACTAATATCGACCGTCTAGCTATTGCCATTTGCAAATTATATACCACAACTACATATTCTGAGATTTCCATGGTCGCAGCTACCATAGTACGGCCGTAGGAGCTATTTGAAATTTATCAAAATTTATCGGGAGCACCGGTAAATCTTAAGTTTTAATTTTTCTCGAAAACAGAAGCGTTTTAGAGGCTAAAATTTATAGTGCTTTTATTACACCCACAGGGGCATCCAAATATATCATAATTGTAAAGAATCACTATCCACCCATTTTTCAAAAGTCCCAAAACTTGTAATACCTTTAAGCTAGCGATGAGTTTATTAGGCCTACATTAAAGGCGGGGTATTTTACCTGTATCGCTACCACAGTGCACTGCTGTTAATGTATTTCTTATTGGGCCATCTTTCGGTGAAGGCGTACAAAGAGTTCAGAAAACGTCTCAGCTTTCGAACGCGGAAGTAGCATTTCGCAGCCAATGAACAGCTTCGTCGGTTCGTAAAGTCAACAAGGAATCAATGAGCCATACACCCGAGTTTTGGAAACTTTATTTAAATAAGTCTAAATGTAATCTAATTGAAAGCGGTTTTTTTTTTAAATTCAAAGAGTAATTGGAAAACTATCAGGAAATCTTTATACTACAAACAAATTTGATCTCATGTTACTTCTCGCCATTATTTAAAACAAGACACTCGAGCAGTGTGTCGGGTATGCCATTTCCTTAGCCACACGACTTAGCGAGGACTCTCACTATATTAGGGACTTTTAGATTCGCACGAAGACAATAGGTCTACGCTACGATCGACGTCCTGTTAATGCACTGCCGTGAATGGACGTCACACGTGTCAGTCCACGCAAATCTAAAAGTCCCTATTATTTCGCTTCCACGATGATTGCGGCTCAATAAACTTATTGGGGAAGGTTCATGGCTGATTGTCAACGAAACGGAGTTAAGTCTTTTGTCAATTCTGCTAGTTGCTACGGCAGGCAGCCAGTGAAAACGAATTCGTTTGATAAAATTATGGAAATGCAAGCACTACTTTAAATAAACAGAACTTTGTCATTCCTTGCTCATTTTTCCTGATTGAGGTGTCATATGAAATGGCAGAAACTCAACTTTCTAGAAATGCGATTTTCTCTTTGAAATTTAGATACAGTCCGCCAAATAAGTTTTTGGTTTCCTCTCTTCAAATTTATTTTTATCACTCATGCGTGAAATATGCATCATATGACTTACATCAAATGAAAGAGAAGATCTAAGCTTTCCAAATATGTGTCATTTATTGATGATATCTGTGACTAAGTTATGATAAAACATCGATAATTCTCGGTTTCGTTTTTTCTGGGACGCACTGTATATATATATATATATATATATATATATATATATATATATATGTATATATATATATACTGATGTGGCTAACATGGGTAAAAAAGACCCAACTATCATTTCATTCAATTGCCTTGTTACAAAATCTCACCTTTGGAAGTTGTTCGAAAATGGTATCTGGAATTGCCGCGACTCTATTATGAAAGACGAAGTTGATTTTCTGTTTCCTTTTAGTGTTCCCTTTGTGCAAAATAATTTGAGCATTGTCTCCTAGTTCCGATCGGTATTTGGCCAGCGCCTGTCTGCAAATTGTGTATTAAGAGAATAATGTCTTTGGTATCAGTGGCGTAATGAGCAAAAACGTTTGGGTGGTCAGAAGAAAGAAGGAAAAAAAATCCGCATTACCACCAAGAAGCATAATGCAGGGGCGGCGGAGCGTCTTCCAAAATAGGGGGGAGGGAGGGGGATCACCAGCAAAAAAGGGGCACCTACAAAGGGAAACATGAAAAAACATACACCATTTTTAGACATTGGTATATACCCGTACATCGCCATGACATCAATATTTGTTACTTTCTTTACAAGATACAAGATACTGCTTAATTAAGCAACAGACTTTCCAGTTGGGTGTGATTGTATGTATATTAATGTTCAAGCGAGCGAGCCAAAATTTGTAGATTTGTGAGGTCCCAAGTGCGAAAAATTACATCTTTAAAAGAAGACAAAAAAAAAAACCTGATGTGTGTTAAGCCAAATCTAATGATCAAAGACTGACAAATTCTTTATAAGTAATATAAGTATAAAAACTATAAATGCGAGCGAGCGTAGCAAGCGACCTATAGGATAAATAGAAAAAAGAAAAAGGGGCTCTATTTCGCCTTGAATTAGGGGTGTATGTTATGGAGAAAAGAAAAATAAGCACCTATCAAAAGGGAAAAGGGCAGTTGTTATAAAAGAAAAGGTGCTCGTGTTAAAGTAAAAAGGGCAATTGACAGAGGTGAAAATGGAACTTCTTCCACCTGAAAAGGAATACTCAATACAGCTGGAAAAAACACATGTGAGAATGGAAATGGGGGCATATGTTGAATGAAAAGGGCGCCTATCAGATTTTGCTACGGCATTTATCAAATGTTAAAAGGGGGAGAAGCTCATATAAAAAAGAAAAGGGGCACTTATCCGACGGAAATATGGTACTTATTAGAAAGGAAACGAGGCACGTGTCAAATAAAAGAGGCACTTATAAGAGGTGAAAAGTGGCATTAAAAAGAAAGGGAAGGGGGTTCTTATTACGAAGGAAAAGTACACTTATTTAAAAGGAAAAACGGCTCGAGTCAAAGTGAAAAAATAGCAAAAATGTCAGAGGTGAAAAGGCCAATTTCTCTCAACTGAAAAGACGTACTCACCATACACATATGTAAAGAGACGAAAAGGACAGTTATCAGAAAAGAAAAGGGGCACTTGTTCTATGAATATGGGGATTTTTTTGTGGGTACGTGAAAATGTGCCCCCCATCGGGAGTTCCGCCTCTGGCATAATGGACAAAAGTGTGAAGAAAAAATAAAAAAATCATGTCATTTCAGCAACATTTGTACATCATTGGTATCGAATTAGAAATAAACCACGTTTGAATTTTATTTGAGGGTCCACTTCCCCCAAGCCCCCCCCTCCCCCATCAGTAGGCCAGTGTTTGGTATGATTCCGGTCCGATGCGGTTCTAGAAGAAAACTGTGGGTGCGAGGATTTTTAGGGATAGGGGCGGGGTCAGGTTTTGGGGTACTGTGTACTATTAAACGTTACGTTGAAAATATTGAGGTGTTTTTACTACTTATATTTTGTGCATTGTGTCGATATCATGCTTTCGATGTCTTTTTCTACATGATTTTTTATATAAAACGCAATATGTAAAATCCAACAATGAATTTCCGTGTCATTAAGGGACGAAATAAAATTGAATTGAATTGAATTGAATCCCGATTATTACACTTTGGACAGAAGTTGCGTTGCATACATATTATTTTAGTTCATTATGTTGTTGATGTTATCTGCTGTCATTTAGTAAAAATGATTTTGACCTCACCTGAAAGTTTCCATAATTGTGAGGTCCGCAGTCCAATTCCGCTTTAATAAGTTTTCATAAAGATAAAGCTGATGATCATTAATATCTTTGAACTTCCACAGTTTGCTAGTAAGGAAATCAACAGAGGAGCAGAAAAAATGAAAACATAGTATGTTAATAAATCAATATGATTAGTTGCTACGCCGCATTGAAACAACAACCTTTACGAATAATAGTGCGTAGCTAGCCTGTTTCTCAAATAAAGGTCAACCCGCTTGAATTAACTCATTTTCAAATTATGGTAAATAAGAAAATCTAGAGGTTATCTTTTGAATTAATAAGTCAGATCGAAATATAATTATCATCATCACTATTATATTCATTAGTATTTGATTTGTTCAGTATAATTGTTCTTCTTCCTAGTCTTATTATCAATGATGGTAATGAAAATACAATGATAGCAAAAGGTTTATTAATTCTGACGGTGTACTTTCATTGACTATTGGATAATGATCAAAGTAGATCTGTAATGTGTAAGTCGTCTAGCTGATACTTACATGGTATCATTCCAGGGGATAAGGTGGTTCAACGTGTCGTGTTTCTGTGTCGTCTGATTTTGCGATGTAGTATTCTGTAATTTGGAGCTAACGTCTTCCACTTCAAAGCATTCACTAGGATGTAACGAATGAAAACAATAAAAATAAAAATCCTATTTCAATACTGATATCTACACTTTAATAATAAGAAATAATACTTATGTGCAACGATTATGATAAAAATGGTATTCATATTTTCATAACATATCTCGATACGCCCCTTCCCTCTCGTTTTATCTCTTTCTATCTCTGACTCTCTCCCACTCGTTCCCTCTATCCTTCTCCCTCTCCTTTACTTAATTTACCTTTGAACACATCCTCTTCTTGCGATGTATCTTACGCTTGTGCTTATATGTTCCAATATATAATTTGTTTTAAAGACCGTCAACACTACTGGGCCAGAAGAGATTAGACAACACAGCGAGGTCACTGGCAGGTGGCTATCTCATTAAATCAGCTCTCAAATAACACAAGAAAAAGAGGATCATGGGGGACCAACAGGCACCGATTGGGGAAGTTTTCTGTATAGAGGGAGCAAGTAGCTACAAGTAGGACAGTGAGGCTTTGACATAACAGTTGACCTTTTGTGCAATATTTACAATATAATACTACTACATATATTTGTATTCGCTTAAGATACTTTTACTCTAACCTCTGACCAAAACACTATATCGGAAAGAGAAAGGGGGTCAAATTCTCAAAAACCTGAAGTTTCTGAAAAGGAGACTATACGGACCCCAAATGATTCCCTTGAACCGCCCCTGTTCTGAGCTGGATGCATACCATAGGGCGGGAGGACGTGTATTCCACTGGGGTAGATACGGCGGGACCGTGTGTATCCGGGTGTGTATTTGTGACGTCACCATAACGTAACCAATGAGTACTGCAGCTGACAGTATGACAAGGAACCAGAAGCGTCTCGGAATGCATCCATCAGATCTAGAAATAATACTAATAATGATAAACACATATTTCTAAAGCACTTAATAACAACAATTTTCCCTAAGCGCTTTATAGGCTTAACTTCAATCTTAACTATAACTTAACATACTATACATGCAGACGAGTACAACATTATTTCAATAAATAAATGCATACTTCATTAACGAATTATTTCCTTCTATTCCTACTTCTGCTTGGGGAGGCCATTGCAAAAGCTCAGTCGCCACAATACAGTGAAGACGTTAGGTGTGAGTAGAGGGTGCTGGTCTGAAGAGGGGAGTTTGCAGGGTCAAAAGACAATACATGTGAATGGGTATTTAATTATTACAAAATGAGGGGACACATTACATTGTAATATAGGGACACACATTGTTTTTATTGTGCAGAACATACTTTTTTTATTGACTTACTTATTGAATGAAACTATAAAACCAAAATGCATTTTGTATTCTAACAATTGGAGTACAAAGAATAATAACAGGTGAATGAAATGCATAAACACCACAAACACCTGGGAAGGAAGCGTTCATAAATTTGAATACATATAGTTGATAAACGACTCCGCATGAAACTATAAAACCAAAATGTAATTTGCGTTTTGGCAATTGGAGTACAAATAATGATAGCAGGTGAATAAAATGCTTCAACACCACAAACACCTTGGAATCTAGGAAGCATCCATAAATGTGAATAATTTAGTTAAAAAACGACTCCGCATGTGGACGTTTGGTGGAGCAAAAAGCAGTGGATTCTTAACAACACGAACCCATTTAACAGAATGTCTGAACGTAAATTAAATTTGCGCGGTTGGAAAATGCAGTAAATTAAAACAGTAAAATGGCTCTTATTTTAAAATTACTCATTAAATAAAACCCAAAACTTCAGTGATATCAGACAAAATATGTTGTATCTTACTAATAATTAAACAAGATGTATAAACATTGTGAAAGTATAGCATTCTACGATAAAAGACACCGATTTAGCGAAAATGACGTCATTAGAACCTGTTTATGTGCGCTTCCATTAGGGAATTCAAGGTCAAAAGGTCAATTCAGACGCTGATAAGTTATTTGTCAAGACTTTTTGTTTCCTTTATTCCGACAAAATTATACAATCAATCAAAACATGTTTAATACCAGAAGAAAGCGGGGGGGGGGGGAGGCAAAGGCCTTTTGCCCCACCCCCATCCGCAACTTGTTGGCGGGAAAATTGCAACTGCATGATATCCCCCTTCTTTCTTTACTTCTTCCTCAATTTTCCTTCCCTTTATCTCCTCTTTTCCTTTTTTCTTTCCATTTCCTTCCTTCCTTCTCTCTTATTTTGTTTTATTGGGGGGGGGGGGGGAGGCAACAACCTGGGAGGCAAGGCCCTTTCGCCCCCCGATCTCCTTCCCCCTTTTCTTTTCTTCTTCCTCTTCTTTCTTTCCCTTTCTCTCCTCTTTCCCTTTCCCTCTCTTCCTTCTCTCTCTCTCTCTCTCTCTCTCTTTTGCGGATCACAGAGGAACAACAGTTTAAGTTAAGTCTAACGTTAACGTTAATTTGTTATTAAAATGTAGAGTACAGCCTTTGGCCTTAGGCCTAATTTAGGTCGTAACTAATTTAGGTCGTAACTGTTACTGTTTTAAAATCTAAAGTAAAATTAGACGGTTTTCATGGTTAAACCAAGTAATTGAGAACAAAAAAGTTTACCCGTCACTGAGACCAGGTCAATCAATCTTCTAGATACATTATTAGGGTCTAACGTTAGTAGATATAAGGTAGATGCAGGCGCGGATCCAGCGGGGGTGAGCGGGCCTTGCCCCCCTCCCTTCCCCAAAAGAGAGAGAGAAGGAAAAGAGGGAAAGGGAAAGAGGAGAGAAAGGGAAAGAAAGAAGAGGAAGAAGAAAAGAAAAGGGGGAAGAAGGAGATCGGGGGCGAAAGGGCCTTGCCTCCCTGGCTGTTGCCTCCCCCCAATAAAACAAAATAAGAGAGAAGGAAGGAAGGAAATGGAAAGAAAAAAGGAAAAGAGGAGATAAAGGAAAGAAAAATTGAGGAAGAAGTAAAGAAAGAAGGGGGATATCATGCAGTTGCAATTTTCCCGCCAACAAGTTGCGGATGGGGGTGGGGCAAAAGGCCTTTGCCTCCCCCCGCCCCCGCTAAAAAAAAAGAGAGAGAAGGAAGGAAAAGGAAAAAAGGAGAGCTAAAAGGGACCAAAAAAGAAGAAGAAGAAAAAAAAAAGGGTGAAAAGAATTTCGATGCGGTGTTCGAGTAGAATTCTGTGAGATGATGATATAATTTTTCGTAGCTTGAAGTGTCTCTATCCAGATATATGTTGATAGTATTATAGAATATAGAAGCCTGATATGACCTTCTGCTCGTAACTGACAAGTCACAGCATTAAAATTAAATTGCAAATAGTGTTCAACAACACGATGGTGGATGAAACTTTCTAATATTCGAAGATATATGACCCTCAGACCATATTGTTTCATTATTTTTTATTCAATCAATCAACGTCATAGAATTGATTCATCACGCTCTTCAATTTATTATTTCACCTTTTAATGTACTTTCATTCTTATGCATCACGAAAGAACACTGAATTGGATTCTTCAATGTTTGTTTTGATTAATTTCCTCCCCTTTCCTTCTCCCTGTTTAATACTGATAACATTTTCAATTTTTCTTAATCAAGGCAAAATATTATTTTTCATATTTTCTTTATGCAAGACAGGGAGAGAGAGAGAGAGAATATGTTAAGTGAGAATTATCGAGTACAACTATGAATTGCATCCTTTTCAATATTATTCAATTCGCTGAAAATCTTTATTTTATAATTCCACTGGGGCGATTTTTAATTTTGCAATCGCCCCCGTGGACAACCTGGAGGGGGCAATTATGGAGCTCACGGGGGCGAGTCGCCCATCGCCCCCGTGTATTTTGAGCGCTGTTCCTACGGCATGTGTGGTCACATATTCTGCGGCGCCCGGGAGGTGCCCAGTGAATTGCCTGTATTACATTTGCCCCGAGCGCCGTACGATAAATTAGTCTACGATTTTTCGTGCGATTTTGGGGACAACGTAGGAGGCTACGGGCTACGATATTTGTGTTTACATTATCTACGAGCATCGTGCTATTTCTTGTATTGGCCCTCGGGGGCAGGCCGGGGCAAATCCGTACAGAGGCTGCTCGGAGATTGTACGGAAATCGTGCAATTTTAATGCAGTAGCCGTGCAATCTCCGCAGTGTAATTCAGGCATTTGGTCAAGTGAATATGTAAGGCGCCCGTAGGATTGCCGGTCGGGTGCCGGGCGGATGTCCTCTGACAACTGCGCCTCATTATTCAAAGCTGCGTTGTACATTGTGAATTAACAGAAACAAATCGTGAGTGCCCGCTAGCCCTCACGCTAGCCTGGCCATTTCTATAATAAATACCGTGGAAGCGACTAATATTAGAGTCTAGCAGCCTACATGCGAGGTGTATCATGCATGACAATCATCAGATGAAGACCTAGCTGGCCCTTGTAAATGAGACAGCCATCGCAACCATCGGGCGATGGAATTCAAAAGTTTAATTAGGTGAAACGTACGAAGTCTACGTATCACCTATTGATTTCGTCAAGATTTGTATTATTAGGTGATACGTACGAAGTCTACGTATCACCTATTGATTTCGTCAAGATTTTTATTAGGTGATACGTACGTAGACGTATCACCTATTGATTTCGTCAAGATTTGTCTTTATTTATTTTTATTCTGCCATGAATTTGTTCGCAGGATATCTCAAGACTCAATAAAGCCATTATCATGAAACTTTCAATGATGATAGATCTTAGTCTAACTTAGAACTGTGGGACTTTTCAAAGACTCAAAGTCATCGTGACGTCATCCAGGCGCCATTTTGTGAAAATCAACTTATGATCATATCTTCATAACGGAGAGGCATTTCTCATTTATAATTATCAGGATTAAGATCAATATCCGTCCGGGCAATTTCAGGTCAATAAAGGCGCAAACCTGCGCGTACGCTTACGTGCGCGCGTTAACGCGCGCATTTTTTTTTTAATGCTCAAAATCATTTCAATTTTTTTTTGCATACGTTTCAGGCCATTATAAGTATTTAATAAAAAATCGTGCTAAACACGCATTTTTGCGCGTTTTCGTTCGTCACGGCCGAACGAAAAAAAAATCCTCAGCAATAACTTTTGACAGAATATACCTCATACATTTCCGATCAATTTGATACCATGTTCATCTCTGTATCACTATTAATAACGGAATGAGCGTCCGTTCAAAATAACTGTCCGTACGCGCGAATTTTGTAATACATATTATATATGGACAAAAACATGCCTATAACAAGTCCATTATAGCCCTTTGGTACGTTTGTTTACCGCCAGTTTGTTTTCATATTTAAAACGAGTATGAGTCGGAAATATGATCTCATGTCTCATTTGGCCATTAAGTATATTTTGACATTATCATATTGACCTTGGAACTCAAAATACGAATTTGCATATTGTGACGTCAGCATATTAACGGAAAATGATTGTATCTCTCCAAATATTGATCAATTTTCTTCTAAATTTTGATATGTTGTGGCTAAGAAAATTATCTACAAGATCAACGTACATTATTTAACATTTTGATGACATCATTATAGTGAACATTTTAATTAAAGGCGACATGTCAGAATTTCCTTAGTTTGCGTGTAAGGCGTATGGGGGTGACAAAAAATCATCATCATCAATATCGTCATTATCGTATTTATGAACATTATCATTAGATCATCATCGGCACACTTTCATGATAAAAAAAATAGCATACGTATCACCTAATTCGTCAAAGTGACGAATTAAAGTCTAGTTAGGTGATACGTACGAAGTCTACGTATCACCTATTGATTTCGTCAAGATTTTTATTAGGTGATACGTACGTAGACGTATCACCTTTTGATTTCGTCAAGATTTTTATTATTTATTTTTAGGTGATACGTAACGAAGTCTACGTATCACCTATTGATTT